TGGTGGACACTAGAGAGAATGCAGCTTTAACACATGAAGCATTGACTTCACTCTTCAGAACCGGAGGTTGCTGCCTGGTCTGACTGTAATTGTCCATGTAGGAAAGTATAGAAGCTCTTAAGGTTGATGTGTTGGTTGTTACGGGTGAAAGTCAGCCGGAGCAAGAAGCCCGTCGGGATAGATGTGAGGTAAAATAAGTTTCATCATATATATTCATATATTTTACTTCAGAGCTACTTACAGAGAATTTGGGAATGTTAAGTTGTTGACTAATCAAATCCATCCAGCTCCACTCGTCTGTGTGTGAGTGTGTCGTGATGGCGGTGGCCATCGGGCTCAAGTGAAGAGCAACAAGTTGTGTGTTGCAGTCAAACCTGGTTCTGAAGCTGAAATGCATCCAGGATTTGATTTGCTCCGCGTTTTGCCGCTGGCACATCACAACACCGAAGGTTAGTGTTTTTCAAATGTCAGTCAGAGAGAGAGGAAGAGGAAGAGAGAGGCATTTATATTTCAAACGGCTGAGAGGTCGTCAATTCTCGGATTAGAGTTTAAACCTTGAAGACTAAATTTCTCTTCAGAGCACAAACAGCTGATGGGAACTGAGCGCTGTGTTTCCCTCCTCTGATGTTTGCTGACCGATATCAGTTTGAGCGATTTCACAAAAAGGGGGTTTGGAAAACAATTTGAGCCTCTTTAAAGCTGTGAACTCAGTCCTTCACGTTCCCACGTTTTTTATTCCCAAACAGCTGCTGCTCGTCTTTTTTCTCTTTTTTATTTCTGCACATTTGTCTTTTGTGTGTTTCATTAGTTTCCCTATTAGATAGAAGAGAGAACAAAGAAGTGTGTTTCTGCAGCGCTACAGAGGGTGATGTACGCAGCTAGAGAAGTGCTGTTCACAAAGTCTGAAACAGGGTGAAAAGCTCCTTTCAGACAGTTTGATTTGTTGTCGTCTGACACACCTGTGTCACAGTTTGAGTCCGTTAACAGACAGACGTTTTGTGTTTTTATTCTGATTGATGTCAAAACCACTCGTCATCTTTTGAACCGTTTGATTACTGAGTGAAGGACAAACATTTTGGGATAAAACTTTAAATGTCAGCAAAGGCTGTTATAATCTACGGCCCAAATCTCAATCTCCACACTCTTGGACTCAGACTTTGAGACGAGTTCCTGAAGACTTCGTGAGGGTTTAGTTCTGTCCCGCTGACATTTTGAGCCCTTCATGAACCCTTTACCTAAGTCTGCATTTCTGCATATGTAGCCTGAGGAAATGTACCCACATTGATGATTTGACGACTACCTCTCATCTCGTTAGCAAAGAGCCTGGAAGACGTTCAAATTAAGGGATGAAAAAAAGAAATACCCGCAATTGTACATAAAATGTTAAGACCCTGAGGGTTCAGGGTTTAAGGCCTTAGGGGGGACACTGGGACCTAAAACAAACTGCCTGTATTTCCTCTTGAAGTCCTGAACCCTGTGTTGATCTCTTGATACTGATTGTGGTCTCAGTAGATCCAGTTCTAACCCTTCCTGTCTCCGATGGACAGGTGTGCTGGTGGTCAATGTGACGTGGAGGAAGAGAACCTACGTGGGAACTCTGCTGGACTGCACCAAACACGACTGGGCTCCTCCAAGGTGAGACCTGCACACATCGTAGTAGACTATATGTCATCGTAGTATTATCATTAAAACTACTTTTTTTTCATTTTAGGAATATCGCCAGTCCGACCTTTTAAAAAGATTTTAAGATGCTACTCACTTACTTTTTCATTACCAGCCGTTTATCGATTGTAATTCCCTTTTTACTGGATGATCTAGAAAGTCTAAGAAGAGTCTAAACTAAAACTGTATCTTTTAGAGCTGATTTTGAGGATATAATAATATAATAATCTTTGAATATTAGAATGCCAGAAATTAAAGATCTCTCTTTAATCTGGCTTTTAATTTGGTGTTATGTTATAGATTTAATTTCTATGTTTTTAATTATTTCTTAAATTTTTTTTTTTAACATTTGATTGTGTAAATTTTAGCTTGCAAAATGGTATTTATTGTTGTTTATTTCTGTTTCGTGAAGCACTTTAGGCTGAATGTTTATATTAAAGGTGCTATTTAAATAAATAAATTGAGTTATAGCATTTCCAAAAAAACGCTCCAAACTCCCTCTCAGTTGAGTTATTATTAGGGGTGGGGGAAAAAATCGATACAGCATAGTATCGCGATATTTTGCGTGGGTTAGGGTTAGGGCGCATAACTGTCTCTCTGCCCTCGACGTCCACGCATCGCAAGTTAAACTGAGTTATATAACTCTAATATCCTACTTATATAAGTTATAGTTCATTTACTGAGTCCACACGTTTGCATTTAGTTAAGTTGGACTATGTAGTAATGCAAACAGTTCAGTTTGTCAGGTTCATGCAACATTTATGATGGTATCGCAGTATCGTGATAATATCGCAGTATCGTGATAATATCGTATCGCGGGTTCTCTGGTGATTCCCACCCCTAGTTATTATTAGATAAGTTATTAAAAACACTGAGCTGGTGGGTTTGGGTGACGCTGTCGGCTGCTATAAAAGGTGTGTACTTAATACTTGTTTTTTGAACGATGAAAAGTTTAATTCATCAGCAATATTTGTCATTTAGAAACGCTGTGAGGATTTTCTGTTTCAGTGTTTCTACCTGAGTGGTTTTGTTGTCTGAACCTAAGCAAGTGTTTTTATTTGAATTCACAAAGAAAGTACGTGACAAAGTTGGAATGAAAAGGTGTTGAGATTTTGGATATTCTTAGTATTTCTTCAGGTTAGTGGAGGGTCATGGTCCTGGTAACACGTTGGTATACAAAGCGCTGCTTCCTGTTTGGCAGCTACAGTTCCATGTGTTCATGTATTAAATGCAGCTAACATTGACTTTAAGAAAACAGCTCAACATGTCGTTCAAGTTGGATCGTGATTGACTCGTCATGTCGTCACAGTTAAACACAGATGTACACATGTAGGACACTAACAACTGGAGAAATCAAGCCTCAAATGATACTATTAAAATGAATCTATTGTTGTATTTTATTCTAATTATAGACGTATTTTAAGGTCAGACCCTCATATAATTATTAATTAATTCTGATTCTTCACGTTAATTCATTTTATAGTTATTTTGATTGGCTTTTATTTGCTGTTGATTGTTTATTTCATTAACCAAAAAGAGAACTTTTTGAGTGCTGTAAAGTTGCTTAAATGATATATATATATATATATATATATATATATATATATGTTTAAAAGAAGGCTGAATTGACTGTGGCCTGTCAGCTGTTGTTCTGTGATGAGCTTTAACAGAAACTCATCCCAGTGTTTGTTTCTAATTGCTGAGTAGAAACTGTGACGGTCTCTCCTCGCGGGGCGGAAGCCTCTCAATTATTGCTGCTGTACATAAATGATTGTTGTCATGGCAATTACAGCTTAATCTCAGAAACCAGGGACTAAATTGCTTCTTTTTTTTTCATTTGGTTTCTGCAGCTCTCTCTGTCAGCGGGGACTGAATGGCGTTTTTATTATATAATTCAATGGAATGAAATGTTCCCACTTCGTTGATTTATTATTAGTCCATAAATGAAACTGTACCCTAAAGATGAAACGACACAATGATTAAATTAAAGCACGAAATATGACTAAAAACATAAAGAAAGTAAGTTATTATAAAAAAAATAAGTGATGAATTTTTCAGCTTTAGTAGAGAAACTTAAAGCTGCTACAAGGAACTTTAATGTAGTGTTGATTCTGTTGGTCCCTGTGGACTAAAGCTGTAGTGTCTCTGAGCACCAGAGTCCCTTCAGAAAACCTCTCATGTTACTGCAGCAGGGTCTGACAGTCTGCCCCTCTCAGTCCTGGTTCTGGTTCTCCCGGGCCTCCCTTCCCTCCAGCGGGTCCAGCAACACGTTCTGGGTCTCCAGCAGCGTGGTGTCGGTGTTGACTCCCAGAGAGGAGAAGCTCTGCACCTGGAGGAGGAGGAGGAGGAGGAGGAGGAGGAGGAGAAGGAGGAGGAGGAGGAGACGCTGCTGCTGCTGCTGGGAGCTGAGCTCTCCTCCTCCCTCCGGAGCGCTGACTGCACGTCCAAGGCTGCAGGTGAAGCCGGATCTGGGTCTGTCCACGGTGGACCGGTCTCTGCTGGAGGATCTGGGTCTGTCCACGGTGGACCGGTCTCTGCTGGAGTCTGAGCTGAAGGAGGTTCTGGTGAACCTGCATGAGTTCATCTGGTTTCACCAGAATCCGACCCGGTGGCTCCGATGACGAGCATCAAGAATAACTCTATAGAAACAGACCATCTTCTCTCTGATGGTCTCTTTACTGATGGAGGTCTGATAGAGGATCAGGACTAGACTGAGACTGGTTCATATAGAGGATCAGGACTACACTGAGACTGGTTCATATAGAGGATCAGGACTAAACTGAGACTGGTTCATATAGAGGATCAGGACTAAACTGAGACTGGTTCATATAGAGGATCAGGACTACACTGAGACTGGTTCATACAGAGGATCAGGACTACACTGAGACTGGTTCAGGACCAGATAGAAGTTCCTCACAGTAACTTCAAATTGTATGAAATCATCTAAACTAGATTACTCAGTTGATACAAAAGTTAAGCAGAGGCATGAGAGCAACAAATAACCTTGAAAGAGCCCAAAACAAATCCATAAAATATGCAGCTGGATGTTTCCAGCAGCTTCAGTGACATTCAGGGACACGCTGATGTAAAAAAGCAATTACAAACATCATAAGAAACGTTAGATATCATCATTTTAAAATCACAGAGGGGGACAAGAACGTCTAGTCCCAACGTGCTTTGCGGTTCCATTAATGGAAGATGATTAACGCCCAAAACAGTCTTTCCAAGGTCAGAATACATTCATTGAGTCCTGCAATGTAGTGTCACAATTAATGCACTATAAGGCGAGCACATATGCACGGTTCAGGGTCCGGCTTGGAAGGTAGAGCTTTCCTCTGTAGATAAACATGAAGCAATCTCAGCAAACAGGTTTTTGATATGAATAACAATGTGTGAAAGTAGAGAAGCCTGTTGAGAGTAAAGATGTGAGGCGCTCTGGTAAACAGCATCAAAAGACTTCAGAGACGAAGGGACATCGTGTGAATACAAAACGTCTCCGTATCAAATACAGAGATGGTCGTGGATTGTACAGGTTTTTTTTCATGTTATCAAAGGAGAAGCAGGAAGAAAAATCAATTTCTATCCTTGACGTCTGGATAGAGTGGTCAAACATGAGCCTGGAATGATAATCAGTTATTTTCCAGTTGTTTTTTTTTGTCTGATGGAACAAGAGTTCAATTTGGGTGAAGATAAGAACAAGTTGTTTCTCGGGTTAGAGCCTTTCAGGAACAAGAAAAAACTGCTCTTTTTTCCCAGTTTGATGTTTTGATGTTTTTTTCAGTTTTTCAACCAGGATTGAAAAAGCTTTTCTGCTTGAACTTGACATCATAGAATACGACGTAAAATGATACAATGTGAAATGAAACAATACAAAGTGGTAGAATATGATACGATACAATGTGATACAACAAGTTGTGATATGAAGACATGATACAATAAGATGTAAAACAATAGAATGACAAACAATAATATTTGATACAATACGATCACATTGTATGTAATTCCACTTGATATGATATAAATTGACATGTGATACGATACAACAGGTGGTTTCCATCCTGTTGTTTTCATCCACATTTACAATTTGTGTATTCAAAAAACGTGGAAATGTCAAAAAATTTGATAAAATCTTCATCGCTCCAAATGATCTGATGTCACCGTCCTCACATTTATACATGGAACCAACATCCATGTCATATTTCCATCCAGTTTTTTACATTGTTATATTTAAGGTTCAACTGGCGCTCTTTTGATTATGTCTTCTTTTGTAATGTACGATAGTTTTCCGATTGGAGAATTGGCACCACTGCTGCTTATCTGCTTATTGGAGTCATTCACGTTTTCTCTCGCCCATTTTTTCTCAAAAATTCGGTAAAACTTTGCGCTACTTATGGATGAAAACATGGCTAATGTGCAATGTGATAAGAGTTTGTAATATGGTGTGATACCATATGATGGCATTGACACCTTTTTTGTTACGTTGTCACCATCTGCTGGACTAATGAGGACACTGTGTACTGTGGCTACAGGAAGAAGTTGGAACTAAAACTACTACAATGTGTCTCCCTCGTACTAATAACACTAAAACCAGACCTAACAGAACATTGTATTTGTTCAAAAGAGTGGAATAGAGTGGCTAAAATGTGTTTCAATCTTCCCAAGTTTATACTTATGTCTTTTTTTTTTTTGGGTGGTTGCCTTATATCTTTTGTAAAACACTTTGTGACATTCTAATATAAAGTTATTTACTTCATAAAAGTATCTGCTTCTCTAAGGCTATATATACATATATATATATATATATATATATATATATATATATATATATATATATAATTGATGGCCCGAGATATACAAACAGAAAGAGCTTCCTTTGTCTGAGGTCTCGATTGATTACTCAGCCAATCACTCGTGAATCCCATTGGTTTATTGGGTGTAGGCTGTCCTTTTACACCCATGAAGACTTAACACTAGATGGAGACAGGATCAGGGGGAAGCTGGAGTTGAATTACTGTGAATTACTTGGCTGGGACGGAGTTTAAAGGAAGTACAGACTAGAATACTTTTTCGGTTAATCTTCTAATGTATATGTTCGTTTAAACTGACATTAACGTGCTTTAAAAGTAAGAACTAATGCATTTGCTCATTTCAGATTTAATAAGAATTAGCTGACTCTGGATTAAGCTTTGTGGTTAGTGGGGCGCTGCATGTGCACCTTCTTTTGACCGGCCAGTTACGATACATGTTGTTTTGATACAGGACACAACACAACAGCACACCTCTGTATCTCATCTCATTTCCATACTGTCAGTAAGTATTGTTTTCCTCTTCTTGTGTCCAGGTTTTGCGAGTCTCCCTCCAGCGACCCGGAGTTGCCCGGTGGGCGTGGCCGGGGCAAACGGATGCGAATGGCCATGGCCGAGCGGCCCTGCGTTGAGCCGGCCTCTGCAGCCAAAGTCAGAGGACTATCGCAGCACAGGAGCCGCGGAGGTGGTGTGGCCGGAACTGCCACACCCATCCACAGCAAGGGTAGGAGAGGAAGCCTGAACCTCATCAACAGCAACTGCCGAATGCCTCCTTCTTTCTTCACCGTGGAGGACGTGAAACCTACCAACAGCACCTCCTCTCTCTCGTCCGGGAAGCGAAAGAACAAACCGCCAGCTGACCTGGACCTCAGCCTGGTCTCCTCTGACGACGTCAAAAACGGGAACGGGAAGAGGATTCGAGCCAAATCCCGCAGTGCCCCATCCACGCCGCAGGGCAAATCTGACCCCTCGTTCATGGACCCCGGAGGTGGTTGCGCCTCCTCACCTCCTCCCCCGCCCATCCTCATCGACTGCCCCCACCCCAACTGCACTAAACGCTACAAGCACATCAACGGCCTGCGCTACCACCAGACGCACGCACACCTGGAGGCCGAGGAGCAGAGGAAGCCTGGACTGGAGCCCATGAAGGACGGGGAGAGCGAGGATCGACTGTCAGACTGCGAGGACATCATCAGCAACTTGACGTATGACCTCTCGGAAACAAACAGCACCAATGTCAACAGCTCCTCTAAGAAACCTGCTCCTCTATATAAGGTGACCACGGTGGGATCTCCTAAGAACAGACGACTACTCCTCAGCACTGACCACAGCCCCTCGGTCAACCCCAAGACCAGAAGAACCTCACTGCTGAAAGACGGGCTGATTGACGACCTTAGCAATCTGCCCATCATCTCCAACATGACCGTGGTTCTGGAGAACTGCATGGTCCCAGACAGGAACTCCATGGTCGAGATGCCCAAGCTGGAAGCCGAAGGCTTGATCGACAAAAAGGGAGGCACGTGCGACAAGGGCAAGAAGGCCAACGGGAAGGTAGATAAGCTGTCTAAGTCACGGACCAACCGGCCGATCGCTCCGGCCCCTGCTCCCCCAAAGCTGATCGCCATACCCAACACGGCGTATCCGACCGGCACAGCCGATACTGCCACCTCACCTATGGCAGCCATGGGCCTCACAAGTAAAAACCTTCCCCTGAAACCCATCAAACCAAAGCTGAGCATTGTCGTGGAACCGAGCCTTGTCAAAGCCACCATGGTCACCTGCAGCAAAGAGACCAGGAAGAAAGAGAAACGGAGGCTGAAGGACAAACACAACAAAGACGCGCAAACCAGGACGCCTAATGGCGACAGTGGTGGAATCAAACTGGAAGATGGTTGTGGTGGTGGTTCCAAAATGGGTGTCAAGGAGATTTCTGGAAGCCTTCTGAAGGAGCACCTCAGTAAGCAGGATGTAATGAATGGGCTGACGGAGAGCCAGGAGAGCCGGATGGCCAGTATCCGAGCCGAGGCCGACAAGGTGTACACCTTCACCGACAACGCCCCCAGCCCCTCCATCGGTGGCTCATCGAGGCTCGACTCTGGTGGTAGTTGCCTGGCAACAGACAGCAAGAACAACAGCCCCGCCTACTCCGACATCTCAGATGCCGGGGACGACGGGGGATCCTCTGAATGTCGCTCGGATGGAATCCGATCCAAGTCCGCCTCCTCGGCCTCTTCAGAGGCGAGCTCTAACAGTAACCACGGTAGCTCTGGTAAAACCCCGCCCACTGCATCTGCCCCGCTGTTGAAAGACCCCCAATCCCCGTACTACCACGGCTACGACCCCTACTACCTGCAGGGGTACATGCAGTCGGACAGGCAAAACAGCAGCAGCGTCACCTTCCACAAAAGCTCCGGCCTCGACTGCAAAGGGAAAGACAGAAAGGAGGATGTGAAAGAGGACGACAAAATATCCTCCCATGAGTTCTCAGACTCAAAGAAAGGCGACGGGCCGCCTCAGTCTCAGCTCCAGCTGGCCATGAGCCAGACACAGACCGCCTTGGCCCAGTCGCTGTACTACGGCCAGTACTCCAGAGGCCTGTATATGGACCAGAAACTGTTGCTGGCCTCCAAGTGCTGCGACCAGACACACGGCGCCAAACAGAGGGGCGAGAGGGGACAGGGGTCAAGAGACAGTGAGGACGATAAACACATGGTTGGGGGTTCAGCCGGTGGACCCATGCAGGGTAAAAGTCCAGATGGCGCCAAAGGTTGCTGTCCCAAACCCGTCCTGTCCTACGTGGAGATGAGTGAGAGGGGAGAAAGGGGACAGAGTATGGGCGCGAAGGCGGCGCACAGTGGCATGGAGGACCAGCACCAGGTCTCGATGAAAGACTGCGACGACATCAAGTCGCCTTCCTCTTCCTCTTCTTCATCACTCCACAACCCAAACAGTCAGACAGATCTGGACTCAAATGTTTCCTATTCCAGTGTAAGTTTCTCCCTCTGTCTCTAACCCGCCGCCGCCGCTGATGGTGTTGTTGGTGTGCTTTAGCGACTGCTGTCGAGTGTCACAAAGAGATTAAAACACACATTGTGTCAAGCTAAACCAATGAGGTGCTAATAACAAAGACCGTGTGACTTCTGTGGTGCTGTAGCTGTGCTTTGACATGTGCTACTTTAGTCGTTTTGGTTGGAAATCAGAATCGTGTGGTTTGATTTGATGGATGCAAATATTTTTTTTAAATGTTTGACTCAATGGGGGAAGCTGCAAATGTAAAAACAAACACATAAAGGAACAAAAGAAACAGTTCAAATATATTATGTGTTGGTTTTTATATATGAGCTGCTTGTACAGATTTGTTTTAACCACGTCATCTCACGATGCATTAACTCTAGCCATGCTGGGTCTTGTAAGAAAAAGAAAAGGGTTGTGTGACTTGAATGAAAGCCATGTCTGGGAGGATGTTTTTTGTTTTTGTTCTTCAGTTTGGCCTAAATTCTGCCGTTGATCATGTGTGAGACGTGTCTTGATTGGTGTCATTGACGTTGGAAACACCACACTCCTCACATCCCACCTCTGATTGGCCGCCTGCTGTTGAAAAACGCCGTCATCCTCCATCAACATCCCACCCAGAGCCAGTGATAGATGGTCTGTCTATGGTTCTGTTCACTCCAGCACAGTGTTTCCTCTATAGTCGGTCAGCAGCGGTGGGCCGCCGCACAAAGAAATTCTCCTCCCTTGTTAAACAAGACAAATGTGCAAATGAAAGTCATAAATTATCCTCCAAATAAAACACAAAATAATCATTTAGTTTTAGCTTTGCAACTGGCCATGTAAAACCAAAACAGGAGACAGAGACGTGGACCGAAGTTGAACCGACCACGCCCTAAAAATGACTCCCACCCACCACTGTTAACAAAGAATTATAGGGGAAACACTGCAACTAGCACCAACACTTGTCCCCCATCGATCTAGCCCTCAGACGGCCCGGCCTGGGCTCACTGCCTCGCTCACAGCAAATACTCTGAGCTACAACATGGGGAGGAGGCCGAGGAGGGGGAAGCAGACAGGGAGAAAGAGTGGGGAGCTACCGTGGAGCCTGCCGGGGCCAAGATGACCTCCGGAGGAGGAGGTGTGTGCGGAGATGCTATAAAAGCCAGGGTCCACGATCTCCCGCCCGCCATCGACTTGGAGGATCCAGACAGACCGGACGGGCTGGATGATCAAGGTCTGGAGCCGATGGGAGGGCTGGCCGAGGAGCCCCAGAACGCCCGGGCGGCGGTGTCTCCTCCCATGACCCCCCAGCAGCCCTACATCCAGTACCAGCACTCCTCCTACCCGCCCTACCTGGCGATGTGCGAGAGCGGCGGGGGCTCCTACAGAGGGGTGTCCCCGACCCTGGTCCACAACTACCCGGGTAAGAGTCTGCGTAAAGGTGTTACTTTAAAAAGGAATAGTTCAACATGTTGGTAAAATACGCTTGTTGTGGAGAGTTAGACGAGAAGATCAACATAAGCTATAGTTAGCGTAGCTTTAGAGTCAAGCTGTTGTTTATAATCTGAGCTATGCAGCAAATGAGCGTATTTCCCAAAATCTATAACTGTTCATTTTAAGCATCACTTACCAAAATCTTTAATATTAAAGGAAGACTTCACCTTTAGAATGATCCTCTGTACATCAATCACTCACCTCATAGTACCTGGAGTTCTTGAAGAACACTTTTTCCTCTCATGTCTCCACCGTCAACAAAGAATCATAAAAACTGAGAGAAGTCTTTAATTGAAGTAAATGTAGGAAAACACCGTTTACAAAGCACCAATAATCCACTCGCATGCTCACCAGAGTCTCAATTTCAAAGGAACTCTGAAGTTTCCGGGAAACGACGTGTGAAGACAATATGCTGTTTATATTTTACGTGGAATATGATTCATATTTACAGTATTTTTAATCGGCATTTATCATTGTTTAAGTCATTTATAAATGCTAGAATCACTTTACATTTACCAGATGGCATTAAAGCTATCACTGTGTTTTACATTAAGGAGTTCATTTTGTGATAGCAGTGTAGATGTAGAGGTTTTAAGATCTTAAACTCCCTCAGTTCATTCTTGAATACTCCATAATATGAAACAATGCATGCATTTATGTATTAGTTAACCTCAAATGTGGGATGAACCCCAAAAAGTATCCAAGCTACAGCTGAATTTGTACCTTTAATGAAAAATGATTTAACAGTTTTAAGGGAGGTTTTAACGCAACGATTTTAAAGCATTAAGGCACAGAGATAAACGTTAAAGTCACTTTATTTATGGATGAAGCACATTTACAAGGCACATAAGAGATGCACCATGATGTTGATATAGCACACAACACCCTACAGGGGGAGCTATTAAAGGGAACTGTATCTTTAAATATAACTCTTTTGTTTTAGGTGATTATTTAAAGTATTGTGGGTGTGCGTGTGTGTGTGTGTGTGTGTGTGTGTGTGTGTGTGTGTGTGTGTGTGTGTGTGTCCACACCAGGTTTCCACTACCCTCTGTACGGTAAGACGGCGGGCAGGGAGGAGTCAGAGGTGACTCCGCCCAGCAGAGGAGGAGCGGTGGGCGTTCAGCAGAGCGGAGACCCGTCCTCGTCCTCGGCCCTGGAGCTGCTGCAGCAGCAGAGCCACCAGTACCACGGGAAATCCCCCGCGGTGAGACGCCGCACGCTTCACCGCCACACTGCAGCTCTCATTCACACTCAAGAAAAGATATGAAGGTTAAAGAGAAACACGGGGATCAGAAGTCAAACGTTTCATTTCTATTACAAATGAACTGATTTAGTTTTCCTGGAGTACAGAACACATCACATACTCTACCAGGCCTGCACGTGGACCACACACTGCTGCTGGCCTCCAATTTACTGCAATACACAACCTGGTTAGATTTAGTTTGTACATTGACCTACCACACATATATATTATTCTAATGTATATATCACATGTATTAGATGTTATGTCTATATGTTTACTTCTGCACGATGTCTTAGATTTTCTTTTCATCCATATTTAATGAACATCGTTGGAGTCTGAGAACTAAGAAAGTCATGGACAGCGACTGCTTCACTGTAATTGTTAATGTGACAATAAAGAGCATTAGAGGAAGAAGAAGAAGTTTCAGTGGTGGATGCTGTTTAGTATCTACTACAGTACCACGCAGTAAACATTTATACTACACATGTATTCCAAGTACAAATACCTGACTTTGTGGAGACACTGAAGATACTTCATGAACATGCACCACACGCAGGAACAGTCCCGAAACGTTGAGTAAAGAATGTGTGTGTGTGTGTGTGTTTGCGTGTGTGTGTGTGTGTGTGTGTGTGTGTGTCTCTGAGCAGCCCGGCGAGAAGGGTTCCCCCGAGGGAGAGAGAGAGACGGAGCGCGAGAGGAACCACCTGTCGTTCGCCCGACATCTCCACACACACCATCACACACACCTGGGTATGAGCTACAACCTGCTGTCAGGACAGTACGACATCTACCAAGGTACCACGCACACACACACGCACACACAGACACACACACACACACACACACACACACACACATTTAAAGTGACTGGTAAATCAGATCAACATGTTCTCCCACATTTGGCCGGGATGATCAGGTGACCACGTTCGTCCAGTCAGTGAGTGTAAGTTGTTTGTAGAAGATCCATGTTGTTCTCATCCTTTGTTCTTGATGCACAATTATTCAAAATGTTTTCTGAAGCTCATTGTGGCCAATCACAAGGTGGTACAATATGTGTGAAAGGAAAAAAAGTTGATTTGTATATCTTATTATCACAAATCACAAATTGCCTCAGAGGGCATTCAGATCTGTACAACATACGACATCCTCTGTCCTCGGACCCTCACATCGGAAAAGCTAAAAGTCCACAATAAACTCCCTGAACAGGGAAAGACAAGAGGGAGAAAGCTCTTGGAAAGCAACATAATTAAATATTGAGGTGAGGCGAAGATGTCTGGTCAACAAAATCATTTCCTGAGTTAAATTACAAGCTTCTACCACCAGAACATCCCAAAGAAACTAAATGTGTTTTCATCCCAACAGAATGTTGTGTTTGTTGAACAGTTTACAGGACATTTTATTTTGAAATGTGATTTCCTTCCTGTGTTGAAGGGTTGAGCTCCCGGTCGCTGGTCTCGAGTCAGCAGGTGTCGGGTCACTCCTCCACCGGTGAGTTCTTCTGGTCGTTGTAATAATCATCTGCTCCTCTGGTTCTCCTCGATGTTTCAGGAGAGAGATGTTTTATGAATCATATTTAGACACTCAGTGATGGGATTTACTGTTCTTTATTAATATGTGTCTTTTCTTATGGTTTAAATGTTAAAAAACATGTTGAACATACAATAATGCCTCAGTTAAATATAAATAAATAATAGATTATTAAATTGTAGCTTTGTCATTTTACTTAACGTCATTAACTAAATGCATTTTACTATAATAATAATAATGATCCAGTGAAGATGAAAGCATCTGCTGGTGAACACAGAGCTCTTCTCTCTGTCCTCCTCTTTCCTTCTTTTAAATCTTCTAAACTCTTCGTCTCTGTCTGTGCTGCAGCTCTTCTTCAGCTCAGCGGATCACAGACTCATAGATTAGCCACTAAAATTGGCATCTTATGAAATAAATTGGCTCAATCTTTTCTTTCATAAAATACAATCTGGGATCAGAATAAGTCTGACGGGTCAATAAATCAAATATGTGAACAGTCTCTGCAGAGAACAGCAGCTCTCTGAGGCGACATCATCATCCTGTGGATTATTACCCACGTCTGAAGGGCCTCCATATATTCTCTGAGGCCGTTGTGCGTCACTGTCTTTGTCTGAATGTGTGACATCATGCAGAGGGAACCTGCATGATGTGATGATTAATGTGATGAACCTTAAAGGAGAGAGCCGAGACATGAAGAAGAGCAGCAGCTCATGTCGTCTTACAATCGCAACTTTAAGAAATAAACAAGAAAACAAATAGGTTTGCACATACAATCATTTTGGTACATAACAATAAACACAAAAAGTCAACAAACACTAAGAAGAAGCAGAAGCAGAAGAGAAGAAGGCCGCTAACAGGCCGTTATGTGACTGAAAGCCTGTTTGTCCTCTTTGTCTCCACAGAGAGCGAAGGGAAGAAGTAGGACCACGTGAGAGACCACGTTCTCACATGAGGAACGGCAGATTTATCAGACATCAATTCCACGGTGTTTAATAAGCTTCGCCTCGCTGAGAGGCAGAGAATTCAGAACTGGAATTAAAAAATAAAAAAGACACTCTTTCATTTGTTACTAATGAAAGCCGCCTGTTTTATAACATCGGGGGAGCAGACGCAGGGACGGGAAGCGGGATCAAAGTACCAATCCAGACTTTTGAAGATTTCATTTCAGCGCGTTTTTAAAACTCCCAGAATGCCGTGCTGCAGCTGTGGCGTTCAACTTTATAAAAAATAACAAATGCACATTTATGGTAGTGTATTATGATGATGATATGACTGAATGTACTGAAGAAGACTATCCCGAGAGAGTTGATCTTTTGTTTTCCTTAAAAACTCTGAGTGGGAAACAGCATTAAGCTAAAAGTCTATTATTATCCTTCTTATTCTGATTATTGAAGTGGTCCTCCTCCCTCCATAGTGCTGACGCTACACATTTGTATTACTAACCTGTAACTTGAGCGTAACCATGTTGATTGTATTGTCTTTATGTGAGAGTAAACCTTCACATCGAACCTGCCCAGTGCCATGTAGGAACCCCACCCAGTGGTGTAAATATTCTGTACAGACTCATGGCGGAGCACTGACATGCTTTTATCCTACTCTAATGTTGACCTCCATCTCCGGCCGTGCAGGGGGAGCAGCGGGCGGAGCAGGGGGGGGGGGGGGGGACCTAGCAGGAGCAGAACCGACTCTTTATTTTATCAGACGTCCTGTAAAAACACTCGTTCCACTGATGCTGCACATCTCCCGCTGGGTTAGAGAGTTGTGTGTTTGTTTAGTGACCGTTAGCTCCAGCTTGTGCCTCGTGGAATCAGTTCTCTAACCAGCGCTTTGATTTAGAGTTGGTGAGGTTTAGGATCAAAAAACGATCCGCTACCTGCAAAACAATGGCTGCTTAATCGGACCTCACAGTGAGATTGTTTTGCCAAATGAAGGCAAAGTTCTCAGACATGAACCAAGCAGATGAACCTAACCAACCCTCAACCACAGCATCGATCATATAGGAGTCAACGTTTCTGATTTGGGAGGCCTTTGAATTGGTATTTACAGTCAACTCTATGCAGATATGAGCCACTGGGAGTTATGGTGCATAATCCAAAATTTGACCCTTTATGCTTTATTCTTTGCCCCAAACAGAGATGTAAACTGGGGCAGGACTGGAACAGGAACCGGCTCTGTTCCAGTTTCCATTCTTTTGTTGAAGGTCAAGAACATGGAGACTCAACTTGAATGTACACCAGAGACAATATATAGAATAAAAGACTGTGTGAGGATTTTGGATATGACGTCAAAATATGCTGTTGTGTTTTCACCAAAACTGACTTAATTCAGATTTTTGACTTATCGGCAAAGATTTCAAATGTAAAAATGATGCTTAAATGTGAGCTACAACCTGGAGCTATAGGTGAATGAACATGATGCCAGTGAGTGAGTTCTGTTTTACTTGAACATGAAAGACACATGTGCCAATTTTACTTTTATTCGCAGCACCTCTGAAGGACAATTCCAGTGTTAACTTGAGCTTTTTCTGGTTAATTTTCTACATCCATGTCTTTATTATTACGTCTAAAGTTGCCACTTTACTCAAAACTAAATGGAATTCAAATATGTTTGTTCAAGTACAAGAGTGAGTTTATGAACCAAAAACAAGCTTCAGCTAAATCAATGTACTTTGTATATTTATTAACTAAAAGTTTGAGGAAATGCTAAATTAAATGTAGTTTCAAGTATCGAGCAAAAGCTCCACAATGAACAACTAAAATAAGATAGGAAATATAACTTAACACTCAAAACACTGGAATTATCCTTTAAAATTAAAATGCCCAGGCACCCAGGTCAGGCGTCCCACAATCCTTTGCTCCGCCCCGGCTCCCACGCTCCCTCCTACAAGCTGACTAGCTCACTGCAGAGCCGCTGATTGACAGAAAGGTCCGGTTTTTATTATCATTGCTGCCAAAAGAGCTGCAACACCTGGAGAACAAAGAAGTGACCAACACGTTGAGTACATTTACTGAAGAACTGTACTTAAAGGAACAGTGTGTAGCAGTTATGGGCATCTATTGGCAGAAATGGAATATAATATAATTAAGTGGGTTTTCTTTAGTGTATAATGACCTGAAAATATGAATCGTTGTGTTTTTTTGTTAGCTTAAAATTAGCTGTTTATTTCTACATACGGAGCCGGTCCTCTTAAATCACAGTACATGCATCCATCAACGTCTACCATGATGCCTTCAATGTTGCATCATACAGACCATAAATAAGAGCGGCACGCTGGAAGAAGAATTCACATTAGATTGTAGTCGTAGTTCTCAGCCAGAGATCTCAGTAACTTCCTTTCTGACACATAAAACTGTGAAGTTGGCTGCAAACATCCAAATAAAATGAAATATTAACATTTATAAATGTTGATTCTTATTAAAAATACAGTTAAAAAAAATGTGTTAATTTAGGCTTGATTTAATTTGTGTTTTTGTGACGACATGGCTAGCATTTGTAAAAACAAAATAATTCCAATACAAATGTATTGATAAGGCACATGTAACAGTTAACAGCTGACCAAACTGCAGTACAATCAAAATATTGCCAAAAAATATATAAAAGCTACTCCGTAAAAACCACAACGACTCGTTTAAAACAAAAGAGACAAAGCAGCTCTGAGAGTGAGTTTAAAGCCAGAGAATAAAAAGCTATTTTCTTCTAATGTAGCATGAAGTAATGGTGGATATATATATATATATATATATATATATATATATATATATATATATAAAACAAACCTGACGCGGTCTATCAGCGGCTCTGCCTCACTTAAACAACACCTTACCTGCATAGTATCAGTGATCATTCTATTACTTGAATATAGTGCTATGAACTCTGTTTACACGACGCTGTGGTCTTCTGGGAGACGCAGCGTTGTCTTATAAAGGCTGCTTGGTATATATGTTCAGTTTTAATCCACCCGGTGTATCCAGTTAACAACACTCTGAAATCGTATAAACATGGAACCTGCTGTTGCTTTTTTATACTGTATATGCCTTAATTCATATGTTTGGCAATCATGATTAAAGGATGTTTTATAGAATTATTGTTGTCTGTGGAGTTTTGTCTTGAGAACACTTCAATCAACTTTAATGAATAATGTAAAACCACCACAATAATCCTTTATTATTACACGAGACACATTGTGATAGCATTAATACTTTATGAATAACAGGCCACTAACGTAGGTCACCCCTGCTTTTTAATTAACAAATGCATCATGTATTCTTAGATAACAGAGTTATTACAGATGTGAGAGTTGAATTAGTCTACAACACGATGTATCAAGTTATTTTGTGAAGGCATAGATGTTAAGTGAATCACTATAATATTATTACTCTTTTTTTTAACTTTTTTTGTGTGATTACTTTTACAGATTTATCGCCAGTGGTGGAAGAAGATATTTTAGTAAAAGTACAGTGTAGAAATAACAAACAAACACATTTGAAGGTATAAAGGTATATATATATATATAAGGGTTTAGTCTCTCCAGCTCTAATTGTTTCCATAATAAAAGTTATTGAGGGAAACATCAGATCATGAAAACACAAATGACAATTAAGAGACCCAAGTCTCTTAATTGTCATTTCCTCAATTTCGGTTGAACCGGTTTCAACCGGTGAGCGATCCTCACTTGAACCGGAAGTTTAAACCGGAAGCGATCCTCGCATGAACCGGAAGTTGGAAATGAACATTTTCCACCAGCCACCACTGCAGTATTCCCTTTTAATTGTAGTGGAGTAAGTGTAATGTGGCATAAAATAGAAACAGTCAAGTAAAGTACAAGTACCTCAAGATTGTACTTCAGAACAGTTTGCGTAAATGTACTTTGTTACATTCCATTTCTAACCACTGGTATATTTGTAGTAGTAGTAGTAGTAGTAGTAGTAGTAGTAGTAGTAGTGGCACTATCAGTATTCGTGGTAGCGGCCTGCAGTTCCACCTCCCACCAACAGGGCGGCGCTGAACAAACAACCGTCTCCGCCATCACTTCCGCTTTCTAAAACAAAATGGGTGGCGCCAAAGCTTGACAACAAAGCGGCTGTTTGCTGCCTTCAACCAACGGACAGTCAGCCTCCGAGTAAACAAAAAGCCTCCGCTGTGTTTTAAATGTGTTAAATGTGAGTTAGTTTAATATTTTCTCATAAATTAAAGTTTTACAAATGTCATCATGGCTTCGAAGACCGACCAACTTCTCATCGTTGTGTCCATCCTGGAAGGTAAGCACACAGTTATCTTACTTACTTTATCCTTTTCTGTCACAAAACACCACATTAAAGTCCTTAACTTCAGTAAAAGTACTGGTAACACGCTGTAAAAATACTCTTACAAGTTAAAAGTACGGCATTGAAACTTTTACTTAAGTAAGTAACGTTATTATCAGGAAAATGTAGACTAACGTTACTTAAAGTATGAACATAAACGTGAAACGTTGTCATTGTGCAGTAAACATACATATATGATGTTTTTATGTTAATATTACTGCTTTTATTATTGTGCATGTTTCATGTTAACTCCTTTATCATACACAAGACTATAACTCCGTTACTCTGTTGTTTGTTTGATCTTTGCACTACTGTTTACTTAGTTAGTTCATTTAATATTATTCTATTTCATTGTATATATTGTGCATTTTTATACTCGATAGAGAAACGACAAGAGTTTAGAGAGTAGTTGGACTCAAGACTGGACTTTTTCTTTTTATGTTTACTTGTCAAATCAAATAGAAATGAATTCTCAGTCCGACCGCCTGTAGAAGTATTAATCGGACTTATTGTAAGCCGTGGATGAGCCTCAATGACCATCCAGCTGCAGTATCCTGGTGGTGATTTACAGTAATAACGTGTTCCACTGCTCTGTAAACAACGTAACGATAAAAAAGAGAACCCGTCTTTCCTTCACCAGGTCGCCACTTCCCCAAGAGTCCCCGTCTCCGTCTGGTGGTCCGGGCGAGCTTCGATGGCGAGCAGCTCTCCACGGACCCTGTAGACCACCGAGACCAGCCGCACTTCAGCACCGAGCTGGCCTGGGAGCTGGACCGCCGGACGCTGCACCAGCACAGGTCTGAAGCTCCACGCCGACGACGCCGACAGATATTTTAACCCAGATGATCAGACAACTGTTTCTATTAAAGACTTGTGCTTTTGTTGTCAGAGACGTCAAAGATTAGTAAACCGAGAGTTTACTAATGACTGTCGAGCTGCTACTGACAATAAGTTAATCTGACATTTTCTTTCTCTATTAATCCATTCATTGATCGGTCTTTAAACATCAGACTACGACGTAAAACAACCATCATTACTGAACATTATATTAATGTTAAAGTGTTCCTGGATTGTTTTCTATATTTCGTCCATTGATTCATCACACGTCAACTATTGTTTGTAGCTTTCATGAAGTTATTATAGCACTGATGTGTTATAATACAAGCTGTTGCTCAATGTTTATCACAAGGAAATATACATTTAACCGTATTTATATACAAAATATTCATGAAATATAAGGGCATAATTCATGCTTTCTTCTTACCTATTTTATTTATTTTTAATTGTACCGTACTTTAAGCTCTATAGTCTGTATGACGTGCTCTATCCATAAAGATTATCATTGTTATTATTATTATATTTACTGACATGTTAATATTTATAATACACCTTTGAAAACGAAGTGAAACTTAATAATAAAAGTAGATAAAATCCAGAAAAAGAGATCTAACATAATATATATAATTACAACAAATAAATCATTTAAAATGAAAGTGAGTTTTGGTATTTTATTTTATTTTGCCTAAAGTGTAATATTGAAGCGTCTTCTGTCCTCTCAGGCTGCAGAGAACTCCCATCAAGCTTCAGTGTTTTGCAGTCGACTCTGAGACCAAGAGGAGCGAGAGCGTCGGCTACATCATCCTGGACCTCCGGTCTGTGCAGGAGGTCCAACAGGTGAGCGTCTCCTCCTCCCGTCTCGTGTGACACGTGTTGAAGCGCACCGACCGGTCGATACCCAGCTGCTGCTCGCTGGGACCAGTAAATAATACGATTTCTGCTTTTGTCCCGTCAGGAGCCTCGCTGGTACCCGCTGCTGAGCAGCAAATACACCAAACAGAGGCCGGCGCTCCTCCTCAGCATGTCGCTGGAGAGCGAGGCCAAGCCCTCCAAACCCTCTCCTGATAGGTTCAGAGCCAAGAAGGCCCCGCCCCGTCAAGGTCAGCTGTCCATCAAGACCTGTTGGCTTCGTGTTTGCTGTTCTCGTTTCACTCACAGTATTCCTACGCAGCCGTTTACCTTTCTAATTAAATATATCCGTTAACATGCAGCCGTGTGTACTCTTGATTAAAGAAGTGCCTCACAAAGTGCTTTACAATAATGGATATATAATATTCATGTCCTGTTCTTCTTCTTCTGTTGTTTTAACTCTCGTGCTGCTCGGCTGTTGAAGGTCCTCCTGCAGTCACCGACCTGCTGCCAGACCAGCTGGAGGCCTCACTGATCCCAGACCAGGGCTACCATCAAGTGGGACCCGCAGAGCTCTGCTCCGACATGTTCGTCCTGTCCGTCACCGTGGCCTTTGCTACCAAACTAGAGCAGGTACGAGTGGTACTCTGACCTCCGACCTGAGCTGTGACTGGCCAGTCAAGAGTTCCATCTTTCACAATAACTGGGAAATTGTGAATTTATTTAAAATGTTAAAGATAAACTGTTTACTTTATCAATCAAAAGTGCAGCCTTAGAAAACTTGGTTAAAATGTACTGTTAAACCCAAATAAAAATGGTCAAATTGCGCTGGAATACATCACCCTTAGAACCATATGTGTTCTCTTGTGGTTCTCCACAGTTGATCTCCAGCACCATGAAGCTGTCGGCGGAGGAGTCGGGCTTCTTCTTCTACTACACTTTACTGGGCAACGACATCACCAGCGATCCTTTCGACAACCTGCTGAGCCCCGACTTCGAGCCGGAGCGCGCCTCTGTGCGGATCCGCAGCAGCAAACAGGTCCTGCAGAGCTTCCTGTCTCATCAGCCCAGTTTACAGGTGAGAGTGGACGAGTCTCGAGGAAGCTACGACCTGATGACTTGGGATTTTGTTTCATCACATGTACCCGTCTGTCTGTCTGTCTGTCCTCGTCAGATCCACCTGTGCTGTGGGAATCACTCTCTGGGCAGCACCGACGTCTCTCTCTCGGCTCTCTCTGCCGTGTCGGTGGATCTGGAGAATAAGGCGGCGACGGTGGAGGGAGCGTTTATACTGAAACCTCCCAAACGCGCCAGACAGGCGCTGCCGGCTCTGCCCGCCGACCTGCAGCCGACTGTGGGGGTGGCGGTCACCCTGAGGAGGGAGGAGGTCACACCACAGGTACACACACACACACTAGTAGTGTAACTGGCCGCTGTCCATCCATGAGCTGTACGAATCCTCACTCACGGACATCATCGATGTAGTGGGGGGAATCAGACTCATGTTCACTGAGCAGAGCCTGAAGGCATCATAGTGTAACTGAAGTGAACCTCCGTTGGTTAGCCGTTAGTGGTGCTGCTAACGTTACTAGCTCTCCTCCTGTTGGTTTAAACACTGATTGGTTGTTTACAATAAAACATGATCAGAGATCAGAGACTAGAAACACATGTTCTACTGAGTCAGTAACACTTTATTTACACTCTGATGGTCATTATGTTCACAGTCTGGGACAGAAATGTGTTGCAGAAGGCTTTCCTCAGTCTGTGTCATGCTTCCTTCTTTCTCCAGTCTGTAGGGACTAAAGGAGCTCACGCCGACCCTCCTCCTCCCTCTGCTCCTCCTCCGGCTGCACAGAGACCTCGTAGCTCCTCTCCGGCTCGGAAACCTCCCTCCTCTCCTCCTTTTCCTCCTCCTTCCTCTCACACAGAGAGCGAAGCAGAGAGTCTGCTGGAGGAGCTTCAGCATGGCAAAGAGCAGGCGGGACAGCTGGCAGGTGAGAGCCGGAGACACCACCTGTCAATCACACAGCATCAGTTGGGAACCACAGAGGGGTGACGTTGTTTGCTCGTCTCCAGCTGCAGATCTGGAGCTTCAGAGTCGGACCGAAGCGACGGCAGAAGGCGGAGCTTCGTCCGTCAGTGTCTCTGCTCCCAAAGTGTCCATCCCGTCCTCCGCCCACCACTATTGCTTCTCTCTGGACCTCCGCGGCCTGAGAAACCTCAGCCTGACGCACCACGTCGCCGCTACGCTCAGGTGATGACTTCATCTTCATCTCCAGAACGTCCTCATAAGCTTCACTGTAAAGACACGTGGACACACTGACTACGTTCACATGCGCCAGATATTACGTTATTTTGCCCTTGTTTAAAAAAGCAAAAACAATAGCTGTTTACACGGCGAATGAAAATGAATATCAGAACAATATCAACACATCACTCATGTTTAACTCTGAAGAGGATCCGTTCACAATAATAGTGGAATATGAGTGTAAACGTAGTCAGTGTGACATTATGAGTTCGTCCTCATCATAACAGGAGTTAAACGTATCTCATACATGTCCTTTAACAAAGTATTTCTCCGTGTTCTTTGCATGTTTAAAGCGTGTAGCTCAGCAGCTTTAATGGCGGCCGTGTGTTTGTTTCAGGTATTCGTATCCGTTCTTTGGCAGCGCGGCTCCCATCATGACCAACCCTCCTGTGGAGCTGCAGAGGAACGTGGAGGCGTCTCTGCCTCAGTCCTACTGCGCCTTCGACTTCGCCGCTCTGCCTCAGCAGCTGCAGGACACCTTCCTCAGGTAGAATCACACTCACTCACACACACACATACACACACACACTTCACACACTTGTGTTTTTCTGTTGTGGCAGTGATGCTTCCATTATTATATCCTCTTTATGTTCTGCAAAATCACATTTGGCCAGCAGGTGGTGCAATAGGACTGTTTTCACCGTGTGTGTGTGTGTGTGTGTGTGTGTGTGTGTGTGTGTGTGTGTGT